GAGCGGCTCTGTGGTACTTGGTTGCCGACTGGGGTTAAACCGCGACACATACCCAAGGAGATTAATGAAATCCACTGACAGGTTAATTTTGATTTAAAAAGCTACTTATCAGACAAATGTGATTCCCTGTTGCTAACTCCTGGTGCCCATCTATCCCATGCATTCAAGTTTAGGGGACTTTCACAGCTGGTGATGCATTATCCCAAGCATCTTCAAAGCCTCATTTGAAAGCGTGTTACAACATGCTCAGGCTTCCCCAAGTTAGGCTGCCAGCAGAGATAAGGCAATATAGGACGTTGGACAAATCTTAGAGCCAGATACGGTTGCGCTGCCAATTCATCGCGTGTTTATCCACATGTATTTTATTTTTGCAGTTTGCAAGCAGTGACCTGTAGGTAGGAAAGGATCTCATAGGATTAGGGCAGCCTGTCAAAACAGGCAGGCTGAGAAAATTAGGATGACAGATCACACAAAAAGTATAGTTCTAGCTTCAGGATGCCCTAGGTCTCCAAAACCGACACCTCAGAGTACTGGTCCTGGGTTGACCTTTAAAAATCTCATGATTAAAATTACTTGAGTACTAGGTTAAAATTGTAAATACAGGTAAGATAATCAGCCAGTATCACCCCAGGTGTCTGTATTGCTACAAAACCCCCTCCATCTTATGAAAGACCTAGCCTTGTCCAAAAAATAGCCAAGTTGTCCTGCACATAGCAGAAATCACTGTTCCTGTTTTTGTTCACGCTCATCTCAACTGCCACCCTTCTTCCCTGCAATTCCAAATCCTCTACAGCAGTACCAGCCCTCCAAGTCCTCTCAACTCTTTTGACATGCCCTCAAGCTTCCTCCCAAGCAGCTGGCCAAGTGGCAGCACGTGCCAGGAATCACTAGAGCAACGGGAGATGGACCGGCCACGTGGCCAAACAGAAAAATGACTGCTGGACACTAGTCGGGCTCCCCATTCTCCCTCATTTCAGCGCATCTGCAGGAATGTCATTTGCCACTTCTAAAACTATTTTCTTTCTGGAAATCAGAGATTTAAAAAAGTTAGATATATCTAAGGATTTGAGGCAATAGATGCTGAATTAAATACAAACAAACAACGCAGTCAAAACCGACAGAGTTTAAAGATTATGTGGCTTGTGCAAATAGTTTACTAAAGAAATTTGTAATTTTGTTTATTAAAAGCACATTGCATTGAGAAAAAATTCAAAAAACTGAAACACCTTGACACACATGCTAACAGGAGAGCCCATGTGCTGCCTGCAAATTTAAGGACCATTTTACTAAACTAAAGAGTCCTGCAGCTGCCTGCTGTCTCAAGGCAACCCAGTACAGGGAAACTGCTGTAATCTGCTGTCAAAGGCTTTGCCGTGGTTTCCTGCCAGAACCTCCGCATAAGAGGACTCAAAATGTGCTGAGCTCAACATGCTCATCTGACAGCTTTTATACCTTCTCCAACATGATTTTTCCTCTAATAAATGCTGATTTGTGTTAAGCCCATTTTGTCACAGACTATGACTTATCAGAAGCCCAATCCAGCCACAAATACATTACTGGCACTAACTGGAATTGAGTTGCTTAAGAACTGACAACCTTTTAGATCTTAAACTAAATAAAGCTTTAGTACATCAGTCTAACATTTAAGAGGAAAGACCACTACACAGCATCCAAGCATGTCCAAGTCAGTAAGGTGGATAGTTGAACTAGAGAAACTGAGTTTCACATCTGACTGCTCCCACAAACGTCTTTTGGGATTGACGATACTGAGGAGTTTGTGCTGTCCTGATGCTCAGCTGCAGCTTTTGTAGAGAGGAAAACAACTTACTATCAGCTCAGGCTAAATCCCCAAATCAACTCTGAAAGAAGGACTTGAGGTTGAAAAGGACTATATGGTACCATGGCATTTCTGTTCTGGCTTTTTTTGACTGACTGGTCCAAAATCTGGCCTGGCCAGCCAGAGACTGGCTCTTTCACCCCACATCGGAGCTCCTGCCTAAGGCTCTGCCCCAAAAAGAACACTCTGAATTGCTAAAAAGGTTCACCACACCACATCTAAGCACCTGAATGTTTGCTGGACTTGTGCTTTGCCATCAGCGAGGCCACCAGCACAGACAACTGCATTTCTATCCTTGGGAGCGCGCAAGGGGCTGACAAGTGCGGTTACTGTTTGCAGGCATGCCTTTGATGGATTAACAGTATTTAACACAATACTGAAGAGCTGCCCTAAGGCTGGTAAACCTTTGATCTGACTGAATGTAGTACTGCCCCAAAACAAAATGCATCGCCAGGGCAGGAACTAAGCCCCACTTTTGTCACCTCTCTAAGAGCTAAATATTTGGTTTCCTTACTTTTAGATAAACTGACTTTTCCAATAAGCAAACCAGCTTTGTGTTGTCCACAACTTGAGTGCAAGATCTTGTTATCAATAGCAGAATTTCTACACTTGGGCCCTTGAATATTTCTGCCAAAGCAGATGGATTGCTGTATTAAACCAGCGAAGTGGAGTGAAAACCATAATTAAGTCAAATTCAAGATGGCTGTTACATTCCAAAATAGATGAACTGGCACATCCAATCCTCTTTTTCCCTCCCTTTTTCTTTGCTCTTAGAAAACAGAAGTATAAATACTTTGTACTTCATATGGACAACTGTTCCTTATCTCACCAGATACACCTGTCCCTCTCTGGAAAATATATATGTGCAAGGACTCAAGAATTAAGCTATGGTAACAGCAGTTCGAGAGTTGTCATCCGAGTTGCTCTGTTTTTCTAAAGCAGATCAGTATCACCCGAGTTGGTGCCCTCCTTTGCCCAGCACACCAAACACCCCGTCTGCTCCTCGGGGGGGAACAGGAAGATCTCCAAAGCAGAACCACACACGACTCCAGATAATACTAAATAAAATAGCATGAGGCTTAAAGTTTTTTAAATAGGGATTTGTAAGTGAGGCTGCTTTTTTACTTCCTGGAAAGCTTTAACTTTTGTTTTAGGTCATTTCAATTAAACTGACTACTGTTTTCTTTTTTTAAAGATTAAATAAAAAATAGTTAAGCTTACTTCAGTACCTGGAGTCTGAACTACCTGATCAGGTCTAGTTTATCTTACATAAGAGCTGCAGACCAGAGTCATGCATACCTGGAAATTAAGTATGACCCTTGCCTAGCTTTCTTGGTGAAAAGTACCAGTGACTTGAGAGCTCGTTTGCAAATGGGACCTAGACTCCAATTCTGCAGGTATTTAACATTTCAGTCCCCAAAATACTTAGGAGATGGGGGTTAACAGTAAACTAAACTAAGTTGGAACCAAAGTATGAACGTGTTTTACTGGTATGGGTACTTAACTCACCTGATTTCTTTAAGTCCTTCTTTCTGGATAACTTGAAGGATCTCTTTATGGCTCATAGGTGTATTAGGATATTTCTCCAGGACCTGGCAAGCAAAAGTAGATTGAGAGGAAGTTACTCATTTGCATTTTTCACATTAATATTCAACTGCACAGAAAACTAAATTGAATGGTTTGGACATCTCCAAGGATACAACCGAGGAAGAACTACCGGCCTTCTCGCACCTCATTACCACCCCTTCCACCTGAAGAATGTAAGGAGCAAAGAGACTCCAGAAGACTGGCTAAAGGACTTATTTTAGTGCAATTCCCAAATTTTATTTGAAGTGCACTGCCCACAGATAACACCTCTTGGGGAATTAAATGCTCCACAGTAACAGGGTGGCTTCACAACCATCAGCTTCACTTGGGAATGCTTCAGGAACCGTCGAGGTCCCTCAGACATAAAACTTTCGAAAAACAAATCCGTAATGTCTGCAAAGTTGAAACAACTACTGATCAGTTTGGTAAGTATTAAAGAAGTTTAAGGAAATTTGGGGTTTAACACCGTTAGGGTTCTTTGAAAGTCTCTGCACACAGTTCAGGCTTAAAGTTTGTAAATATGATCTATAAAAATGCTTCCTACATTAAGCTGTCAAATACCCTGCCACCCCTTCCCCAGCCCACACTATGCACACTCCGACGCCTAAGGCCACTCACCTCCCTTTCAAGAGGACTAAGATGCAAAAGTATAATTCACAATAGCGGACAGAGATGCTGAAGACTTCTGAAGGAAGATGCCAGTTACCAGACGTCATTTGGATATTTTAAGCAATATTCGTGCTGGGGGGGAGGGCAGGAAATGCCTCATTTCCTTCTTAATCATCCGCTTCTGACCCATGCCCAGCACAGCAACCCTGGAGTTCTGACTTATGTCTTCAGCCAGAAAATAAGCCATCGGTATGTTAAGTATAAAAACCTACAAGTGACTTTGCAGAAGGCAGTTACCAGTTTTAATTTCTCTGTTCAAGAGCCGTGCAGAATGCATGGCTTCTCCTAAACCCCTGCACCTTATTCCCTCCAGGAACATTTAAGTTACCCTGATGGCTGCAGATTTAGCTCTCTTTGGAAAGGACTTTGAAAAGACCTTGATGAACTGCAGCATCTCTCTGCTTAGAAAAACAAAGACCTACGCTTAGCACCATTTTTAGCTTTGGAAGCCCTAGCTGATGTCCTCATCACGTTAAAGTCTCTTATTCAGTTATGTCAAGTTATGTTAAAGCCTGACTTTCACAGCAGCTTAAGCTATTTCCAGAGCTGGTATGTGGCTTTTGCCAAGGCTGGCTGGCGGCAACAAAACATACTCTGAAGCAAGCACTGACCACCAGCACAGCACTTTGGCTTTAGCCACTTCTTGAACAGCAGAGTAGCACATGTATAAAAAAAAGTGAGTTTAAAACAGATTTAAGTGGGATTTGTTTACACTTACTCTGGTATCAGCCTCAGTGACTCATTCCACTTCATTTCTAGCTGTATTGTAACTAAGGATGCCCACAGCAAAAGGACACAAAATTAAGGTGGTTGAAGAGTGATTTAAGTCAGACCACTGCAGTTTTTACATTTGTCTCAGCTCCTAATTCATGTTCGCTCAGCGTTGCCGAAGAGTCGGTATACTTTTATACCATTAACTTGGAACAAAATCTGAAAGCTTGTTCTGCACAGTGTGCTGAAAGCCCATGGAGGGCAAGAAGAGTTAAGACCATCTCAATTTCCATCTGTGGTGTCAACTTTTTCACTGCAGCTAGCAAAACAGATTAGGAGAAAAATAAAGTGGTGCTATGATTCCATTAACAAGGAACTTTAGGGCATTTGCCATTTCTCACACACAAAAATATAAGTGAGTATTTTTCTTCTTGGGCACTGTTTTTTCCTCTTGACTTTCACTACATGGACGTGCTCTTGACAAGTCCCATCTTACTCATACCTAGAGCGGCAACAACACATTTCATTAATTTTTCACTAGGCCCAACCACGATGCAAGCTAATACCGTGTTTGACGAGAGAATCTCATCATTAAGAGCAGAAAGGAAGAAATGGTTTTCTAATTATATCCTTCAGCTAAAGAAAGCTGAAAGAAAAAGAGGTTGAGGGTAAGACATCATAACAGCCTGCCAGTACCTACGAGACAGTTAAAAAAATGGAGCCAGACTCTTCACCATGGTGCCTAGCAGAAGTATGACACCAGGTAGAAGCTGAAAGAAGAGAGGTGGCAAGTAAGCATAAGGAATAACACTTTCATGATGAGGACAGTCGAGAAATGGAACAGGCTGTGCTATTTCCATCCTTGGAGGTTTTAGTCAAGACCTGACTGGATAAAGCCCCAAGCAACGTGGTCTAACCTCAAGATGACCCTGCTTTGAGGGGAAAGTTGGAATAGAGAGCTCCTGAGGTCTCTTCCAACCAGATTATCCTATGGTCCTTATAGGTGCCCACATGCACGAGTGGCAAGGGGTAGTAGTCCACAGACCAGAAGAACTCTACCAACTTCTCCATAACATCCTGGATCCAGTCTCCCAGCAAGCAACAAACTTCTCAAGACAGCAAGTCTGCCCAGTGGATGGGTTCCTCAATCCTTTACTGAAGGAAGTCTCCAGCCATTGTCACCAGATGCTTCTTCTTGGTGGCACTGGGTCATACCCATAGACCAGGCACAACCAGCCCCAAATTTGCCAGTCTGTCAGAACTGACTGCTCCTCTTGTGTCACCAGAACCCAGTATTTGTTCTCCATCCAAACATCTGCATGCAGAGGAAGGCTTTTTGCTGCTGAAAGTGAGAAAGCTTCCACCTTCAACACTGCCCCTGACAAGGGATGCACCTTTTTTTTTATCATCTCCTGAGTAGTGTGGGGCTTGGGCTGTTGCGCTGCAGCATCTCTGCAAATAACCGGTTAATCTCCCATTTGTCCTCCCTAGTGCTGCACAGTCTGCTCACCTCCTCCCACAGGTGGGTCACCCAGAAACTCAAGCAGAGGCCATGCTCCACTGGTGAATCATAGAATATCTCAAGTTGGAAGGGACTCATGAGGACCATCGAGTCCAACTCCCTGCTCCACATAGGACTACCTATTCCGAAACCATATGACTAAGTGTCATCCAGATGCTCCTTGAACTCCGACAGACTTGGAGCTGTGACCACTTCCCTGGGGAGTCTGTTCCCATGACCAACCACCCTCTCTGTGAAGAACCTTTTCCTAATGTCCAGTCTGAACTTCCCCTGACGCAGCTTCATTCCATTTCCTTGTGTCCTATCGCTGGTTATCAAAGAGAGGAGATCAGCACCTCCCCCTCCGCTGCCCCCCGAGGGAGTTGTAGACTGCAGTGAGGTCACCCCTCAGCAATGAGGTCACCCCTCAGCCTTCTCTTCTCCAAGCTGAACAAAGCAAGTGACCTCAGCTGCTCATCGTAAATCTCACCCTCAAGGCCTTTCACCATCTTGGTTGCCCTGCTCTGGACACACTCTAATAGTTTGATATCCTTCTTATATTGGGGTGCTCAAAACCGCACACAGTACTCGAGGTGGGGCTGCACCAGTGCAGTGCAGAATGGGACAATCACCTCCCTTGGCCGGCTAGCTATTGCTGTGTTTGATGCACCCCAGGACATGGTTGGCCTTTTTGACTGCCAGGGCACACTGTTGACTCATACTCAACTTGCCATCAACCCAAACCCCCAGATTTCTTTCCGTGGGGCTACTCTCCAGCCTCTCATTCCCCAATTTGTACATATAACCAGGATTACCCCATCCCAGGTGGAGAATCCTGAAGCCACCATCATATTCAATCCTAGCCTCCAGGAGGAGCACCAGGCATTCCCTGCAGCCTTCTCTGGGACAAGACCTCTCACGAACTGGTGGTGGGGTGTTCAGCCACTGCAGAGACTGACATCCTATCGTGGTGTCACCACCACTGGTGTGCCAACTGAAGCACTGAAGTAGTCTATGTGAGTAAGTAGACGCTCTTGTAGCTCAGTTTGATGGTGTTAAAGGTCTTGGTGTAGCGGTGAACTTGCTTTTGTAAGATTACACCAAAGAACACAAAATAAATCAGGAAGAAGACAGATTAGAAAGAAAACTTTGGTTAGAGGAGCCTGAGTAGTAAGGAGAGCCACTTTTTTTTTCCTTCTTGCCTACAGTTATCCATCTTCAAGAATACACGTGTAACACTAGGCTAATAACAAATACAGCACCAAATGAAAGAAGACTGATTCAATGGGTGACACAGCTGTGAGCACCCTTGAAGCAAGCTAACAATGGGATCTGAGCTGCTTGTTTTCCCTCCCCAGCTTGAACACGCTGTTTCTGAACAGAAAGACTAGAAGAGCAAAGAACGTATCAATAGAATTGTCAACAGGCAACTGAGGATCACGTGTTGTTGGTCTTGCAAAGAAAGTTTATAGCTCTGCATGGTTAACTACAGAATAGCACCATGCATCCAACATAGATTTTATTGGCTTAATTCATCTGACATTCTGCTCAGAGATGCCGTATAAATTCTTATCCATCAGTATCCTTGAAAGATAGTTTTACCTGCCAGATCACAGTGCAAACTCCAAATTATTTTCCATTGGGCTGGATGTACAAGAATATTCATCTGAGGACATGACTCTCAGGTGTCTAAGTATAGAACTGCAGCATTTTGCTAGAGCCACAAGTCTGGGTACTGCAAAAACAGATCAATATAAAATGGCCTATTCTCAAACACACAAGAACAGCATTTGTAACTCCAGGTTAACCATTAATACTGACTTCAAAATAATGCAAATCTGTATCTCAAGACACTTAATCAGGAACACACAAGTAGCCAAAAAGGCTGCCTGTCCACTGGGAGAGAAGACTGGGCTCCCAACATCTAGACCCTTCATTGACTCTTGACCCCAAATGGTCAACAGATGGATGAGAAGCTTTACTTTGCCCCTCTCCCCACCCCACAAAACAACAATAAAGACAAACTGCATGAAATCAGTGCTGCTAACAATACAGCTTGAGACTTTTAAGGTGTTGCTTTGCTTACCAAAAACAATCAAACAAAACTCT